TGATGTAAATCTCAATAAGATAATGTGATATAGAATATCAGGGTGAAAATCACATTTTTTAAACTGAATTGAGTTTCTACCATCCTAAAGGAAGGCTGAAATGGAAATACTCAAACAGAAACTTGCATATTCAGTGTCCACATTAATTGTTAACTGTTAGCCTCATTTTCTACTCTTCTGCAGAAATGTAGATAAAAATTTTACAGAAGAAAATTCATCATTCCTGCATTTAAAAAGAATAATGTTGAAAAGGATGCCAGAGAAGAATGAAAACAACACCTGATATCCCTTAAAAGTCTTGCACTGCATCCCTGAAGCAAGAAGTACTAGTCTACTCTCGTGTGTGTAGACATACCAACTCACAGTCAGTCTCTTTGACTCAACCAAATGAAGAGATTTTGATTCAAAATTATAAGAGAATAAGTCCAATCCACTGCAATTAATTTATTTCAGAAATTAAATCCGACGGAAAATCAACAATTTTGCGGGTAAATGCAAAAAGCAATTGCAAATTTACATGCAGTGAAGGGATATACAGTGTCATATGATGCATATCCTTGAGGAGTCTAAGATATACACTACAGATGTATGGTGTGCTTCTTAGTTCTTATAACAGTTCATGTTTACCAACCATGATTTAGGACTCATTTCATGAAAAGAGAAAATTTTACAGCTTCATAAAGTGCTTAAACCTACATCAAAGCACTCAACAGGTTAAATGTGGGCTTCATGTGGTTAGCCTTTAGATTTACACCTTTGTGTTCCCATCATTCCCTGCTACAAACAAGTCTGTGCAGTGTACATTAAATTAAAGACTTAAAGAGTGAGCCTATTTTAGATTTTATTGGGTTCATCGTTAGCATTTCCGGGTCCATGAGGATAAACAATATCAAGATTACCCTAGGGTAAAGACTGACAAATTGAAATTAGGAAGCCCCGAGGAGGTAAAGTTGGAGCACATGAAGAGCAACTTTTTCCCTGACGTGTTCCTAAAACTCTAAAAAAACCACCATTCATTCATTTCGTGCATCTTAGCATTGCAATTCTGCCATTATGTTCTTCCTAAACTACTAAAGCAGGCTTCAATGATTAAATCGCCTCTCATTCACATTTCATAACATATGAATTTTTTACAAAGGTAAATTTTGAAGGCATACCTAGTTTTAACAAAGACAATATCACATGTTGGGCAATCTGTCCAAAACATCCCTAAAATACTTTCTGACTCAGGTCTGCACTTTTGAATATGAATATCCCCAGCTTCTCTGTTCAATATCTGAACCTCATGTGCAGATCTTTGGATAGCCAAAAACTTTGAATCTAAGGAATATCGAATTGACAATACTGGCCCTACTCCAATTGCTTCAGAGGTAGGAGCAACATGAGGGTTAAAAGGAGTTACTTTCCATGAGAAGACCTACAAATGTGAAGATTTACATTCAGAACAATGAAGAGAGGTTGAAACCGTTGAATCAACAACAACAACAACAACAACAACAACCCAGTTAAATCCCACAAGAGTAGGGTCTGGGGAGGGTGTGTGTACGCAGACCTTGCCCCTACTCGAAAGTAGAGAGGCTGTTTCCAAAGAGACCCCCGGCTCAACATCGAAAGTTGCAGTGTTTGACTAACTGCTACTTCATTAATTAAAGAAGCGCAGATAGTTTAGAGATCCATTTTGATTTATTCCATCACACCCCAAAGCCAAAAATGGTGATTTATTCATAAACCGTTGAATCAAACATCCAAATATAAATAAACAATGTCCAATGCTTGCCAAATTCCTGTGTGTGTGTATTTATAGAGACACATGCACACACACATATATGCGTGTATATGAAAATCAAAATCATTCATCTTCATCAAAAACAGCTTACCCGGCCAGACGTAGAAGCAATTAGTTGCTTGGTCCCATCATCATAATATAGCTTGTCTGCTCCGGGTACTTGACATCTTAGAGGAGGGTAATCAATATGAACATGCGACAGGGAACCAGAACCACCAAAACCAGGAGGATGAGAACAAGATGTTTTTTCAGACATATTTCCTGCTTATGTTCCCTAAAAGTTTTGGAACCTTCTCTAAACAAAGTAAGGAATTCCAAAGTCCGAACACCTATGCTACTGGGAATCACATAGACAAAAGAAAAAAATTATGAATTACAATGTGATCAACAATTGGTTTGAGGTTTGACCAAAAGTCGATAACCTATATAAAGCGCCTCGCACCTTTTACACTCGTGAGAAATTGTTTACAGCTTAAACCTTCCTTCTTAGCTGCACATTAACAGGAAATATGGAAGTACAAGTTCAATTAGGAATTGTGAAAGAATTGGGTGTGGGTACGAACTGTTTGCACGAATGTATTATGCACATAAAAATCATGCTCTTTCTCATTAGATTATTCACATGGAGGAATCATACAACATTCTGCATGCAGTGTCTTAATTCATTAAATTCTTTCAAGCACATGTCCCGTTCAACTTCTGGAACCTTTGCAGCAACACAACCACCATATTCCTTTGCCTGCAGGAGAAAAGATGAAGTAAACTGAGAACGATAATATGCTGCTATATTTTTATAGCTAATAACTGAAAACTTCTGTCATGAAAAAAAACTGACGATTATACTGACCAAAACTTATACTCGTAGCGAAAACAAAACACTCTTTGTTATAGATTGGGCCTAAATTATCCCCTTGCCCATACCCCCATTGTGCTGGAGTTTTGGCAATGGGTACATAATTTTTTTAAGTTGTTAAGGTCTATTTCTGCATTTCCAACTAGTGGTTTAACAATCTGTTAGCTCAACTCAAGGTATACATAGCTCAACAATTCGCAGAACAATTCATTTCAGCAATTAAAAAAAACTATGATTGCTAACTTCAAAGCAAACCTGAGCTGAACAATTCGCCAATATTCTCTTGAAAATCGAGACGGTTTTAGCACTGTGACTGTTTTCTCTCATGATCGCATAGCTGCAAGTAAAAAAAATTAAGTGAAATTAAATTTCGGATCTTTGAAGAAGAATATAATGGAGGGATGAATTAAACAAGATGCAAAACACTTGACAGATTTCGCAGCAGATTAAGAAAGATACTTGATAGATAGTAATCTAAGGAGAATCGAGAATGAATTTGTGGAAGAGCTCGTATAAATTTTGGGAAAGCTTTCATCGGAAAAGAACGCTTCAGTCAGGACATATTTGGTAAAACAACAAAAGGATGATTTTGTAGTGATTTTTTAAACAAAAATGCTAGGGGTACCCATACCCTACTCCATCCCCACCATTCAAAAGCAAAATAGCAAAAAAATTAAAAAATAAAAATAAAAATGAAGGGTGAAGATGCATGGTGTACAAATGGGGTACACCAAAATGGTGTACCCCTAGCATTCCCTTTTTTTAAAATATTCTTTATGTGATCGGTAAAAGTATGATGTAATATGTAGATTATTATGAAAAAGATATGATGTGATAGATAAGGTATGAAAAAGTTTAGTGCTCGTATAAAAGTAGTTTTTTAATAGAAATGAAAAAGACTTTTGGACACACGGTTTTTTTGAAACGTGAAGAACATTTTGAGACAGAAGGAGTATAATTCACTCGAGACTTCAAGACTCCAGTCTCGGTTTCCATTAATGTTGTTTCGGGTTTCCAAGCGGCGTAGTCTACGCCGCGTAAACGTCCTCTGGTGGCGAAGCGTGCGACCTCCCCCCGGATGAAATTCTTAAAAAAAGTTCAAATATTTTCTAGTCCATTAAAAATCGAATAATCTTACCTGCGATTGAAGTCGAAGAGTGCCCATTATGTGGAGATCGAGGACCACACATTTCTTTGATGTAGTAATGTTGATCGCATGTGGGCTAGATCAGTGAAACACATGAGAAGGGGTAAAGCCACGTCCTTTGTTTTGTGGCTTTGACTTCGCATTTGCTCAGATATTTTACAGGTGTTGAGTGGTGTGGTTTTTTCATATGGGCCATTTAGAAAGCAATGTTGGAACAAAAAGTGATGCAGCCGTCGATCACTGTGAATCTTGCATTACAGCTTCAAGAAGACTAAGTAGTGAGGGTGGCGGTAACAGAACATGTGGCAACATTTCCAGCAATAGAGACTCGAAGTAGGTCCTCCCTCACCTCTTATGTAGATGTTGCTATGTTTCAACAAGAGGGGGTAGCTTCATTTGGATGTGTGGTTCTCTCACCAGACGGCCGGTTTGTGGCGACAAGAAACGGCCAAATGCGGGGTGGCTGGACTCTTTATTGGCAAGGGCTACAACTTGCAAAGAGGCAACTTTTGGCTGAAACAAAGGGATGTTCGTAACGTGGAGTTATCTCAAATTACCAAACAGTTGTTCGTGCTTTGTGTGCGGGAAAAGATCTTTCTTGCTTGTCTTATTTTGACTCTATTATTCATGAATGTTATTCATTTTACACTCTTTTGATTCGATAGTGGTTCATATCATTCATAGATTGGACAACAAGGCAGCTCATACTTTGACGAAAGTCCCTTCTTTTCAGCTGCCGGCGTGTGAAGTTTTTCATCCATAAGTTGTAACACCATTTATTTAACTAAACGAAAGTCTTTTGTTGTACCTCAAGAAAAGAAATTACGGAATATTAAATTGTCCTTACAAAAAAAAATATTTTGAAAATAATCTCACACCAAATTAAGAACTTGTAATTTGTTGATATAAAACATTTTTTTAATACTCAACATCATAACTTTGCAATATTAATTACCTTACACACATTACTCGTGTCATAGATAGTGGTATCTTTCATCAAGTTGCATCTTCAATTTCAAAATTGTATTATACTATGTTCCTAAAATATTTTGAAATTGGGGATGTAATATTAATAAAGACACAATTTAAGATGTTAAGTACAAAAAATTGAGTTTTTCTGAAATATTTAAATTTTTATTTGTAAATTATTTAAATTCATTTTTTTAATTACTTGAAAAAGTATATACGGAGTAAATGACAAATTTGTAAGGTCTCTATCTAAAATTTTCTAATTTATATACCAGCCAGTTCGTCCGACTGCCGCGCCACGCCTCCCGCCGCCGCCAGCCAGTTCGTCTGACCGCCGCGCCCAGGTGTACTGGCATTCAACTGGTTAATCCACTTTCTAAGGTAATTTTCTCCGGCTCATCAGTTGATTATAGGCCATTGATTTCTTTAGAGGAAGTTCTAGGTCATTCATGAAAACACTGCGATGGGCTAAATGAGGACAGGCTGGACAGCGATGATTCTAGGTCATCAAAATACGGTGTGGATTTAAGCAGTCATTTGTGCAGTTGATTTTATTATGTGATGATTTCTTTGAGTTGTTATACATACTCTCAAAAGGAGGACGATTCTGTTAACCTCTTCAGGCCTAAATGTGGTCCTTCATTTTCCTTGGGACCTTGATATGGAGGGAAGCGGTCGCGAGGGGGCGAGGTCATGGGTGGGGATTTACGAGAAGGGTTAGGAGGAGTAGGAACCGTCAATTTTACGAACAGAGCACCATAGGAGCCCCGGTTGAATTGGTTTCACGGAGTTACACCGTTTGGGATGGTGTAACTCTACACTTTTTATTTAAATAATTGTGTGCAGTCTGCGCTTATGTAGTAATGTGTAGTATTTGGTTTACATATCGTGACCAAGAGCTCAATGAAGTGCACACCAAATTTTTTTTGCTTATGTAGTAATGTGTAGTATTTGGTTTGAATATCGTGACCGAGAGCTCAATGAAGTGCACACAAAAAACTTCTCGCTCTTCTATAGGTTTTCATTGTGAAATTAGTAATTGGGAACTCTTCACCCACTCCAATTTTGTGTACTAGAGAGTAAAGACCATGGTTTAACATAACCACGAAACACGAATGTAGCTCTTTTAATAAAAAGACTTGGGTGGGAAAACAGTATGTAGGTGTTGGTTTGTTCTATCTCAGAGGATATGTACAATGTTCTTTATCTTTCTCTCATTTTCATTCTTAATTGAACTTTCTTGAATTGGAGTGATGACCACCTATACACGACAGAGCGATATTGTTGATTTGGCGAATTATATTATGTGACAGCGGAGTTTCTCTTCCTCACAGGAAGAAGGGTTTATTGCATATGGTATCTGGATTTTTAATGGACTTCTTCCGAAACTTTGGGTTGGATTTACTGAAACAGCTAAGAGAACTCTTGGAAAACTCAAGCCTTGAATTCAATCCTTTTGTAGGCAGGCTTTTCTAAGTCAATAATATTACTACATAGAATCCTTTGACTCTTTGAGCTTCAACACAAGCATTGTTTTTTAAGAAGTCACCCTAAATAGGAGCAAAATATATAGAAACATACTAAAATAGGAGTTCCATGTTTTTATCCCTAAAATAGAAGTTTGCACTGTTATAATGTGGCACTGCAGTTCACAATATTTTTTGGTTTTTTATATTGGCATTGTATATGCATTTAACTCCTATTTTGAGAATAAAAATATAAAACTCCTATTTTGGTATATTTTCTATGTTTTACTCCTATTTTAGTCTTTTTTCCCTTGTTTTTTCTTCTCAACGTGATAAATAGTTGAATCTTGCAGGGCGTTTATAATTGGGGCGACTTTGTGTTTCTCATCTACGTGCTCTAGTTATGGCTTCAGAGTTTGAGACGATCGAGCAAAGACTGAGATCTTTTCAAGGCCAGCTTCTGTCGGAGTTTGGCATTCTCGATCGAATTGTCTATAAAAACAAGAACCAGCACAGAAGATGCTCATACTTCCAGCACCTCTCAAAGGTGAGAAGAGACCTGAGGCTTTTGAAATCAGCAAAACTGGATGAGATACTCACTTCCTCCTTTGACATCATCCATGGAAAGAGGCCCAAGCAAAAGCTTCACCTCCTGGAAAGCCTGAAGAGAAGAAGAACAACAACAGATGGCAAGAAGCAAACCTTCTTAGATCGGCTCCTCGGCGTTGCCCATCTTTTGTCACAAATGGTTGAACCAGTGCTGAAGGCAGCAATGCAGGTATCTGTTCTTCTTGCCCAGTCGTTCTTCATGGGGTTTTCATTAACTGTCCTGGCTTTGCTGGCAAGAATCAGAGTCCTCGTCCAACAAATGCTTCTAGATGTTGTTTGTGTGTTCAATTGCGTGTCGTCCATGTCCCAAAAGAAGCAATCTGTGAAACTGAACACCGAAGGATTTGAGGTTTTTAAAGAATATTATCCTGCCAAGGGGCGCGCTGTTTCCCTAGAATGTGTCTGGGAAACAGACAAGTACAAGTTAATGGTGCGAAAAGGTGAATCTCAGGAAGATGAAATGAAACAAGATGAGCCCATCAATCCGCCGAGAATCAAGTACCAAAGCATTGAGATGTTTCTAGGAGATGATGAAGTTCCAGGAGATGATGGATCATCCGTGTCTCATGGGAGTGGATCGTCATTCCAATTGAAACATAAATCTGAAGCGAAGCGTAGTGTTGCATTTGTGCCTGTGAAGAGGCCTTCTCTGTCTTCGTTGCTGCCATCTGCAAATGAACCAGGGCTTTCATTTCAAGGAATGCAAAATGGTGATCCTTCAACTAGAGAAGAAGATGAAGAAGAAGATCCTTTTTTCAGTTTGCTAACTGGAGGAAATAGGAACAGTACTTTGTTCTAATCATCATAAGGAGGGAGTAGAATAAGTTGGAATGATTTTAATTTGGTTTTATTAGACTCAATACACTACAAGGATATGGTTCTGTTCCTCTAAAACACATGTTCATGCCAAAAAAATATGAACACAAACATTTCCTTTTGTTGCATTTTTTGTCATATTTTAATGCAAGTTTTTGTCCTGAAATTCAATGCAACATTCTCTCTTTGTAAAATATTTTCAGGATTGAATTTCTCGTAATTTTAAAAATGTTGAAAGTGAATATGGCTCATAATATGAAAAAACAAAATGAAAACTATTCATGGCTCATGTGTGGTTATGGTTAGGATTATGGACAAAAATTTATTTTATTAAAAAAATTTTATGGTTCAATATCATTATTGGAACTCTGTTATATGAAAGACCATATGTTTAAATGTTTATACTCTGGAGTACATACCGATATTTTGTATCTTTGATAAAAAAAAAAATATTTCCATTCGTTTCATTATTTAAGAAGAAACGTGTTTTCTTGTTGCAAAAAGGTTGAATCCCCAATCTCAAGGGCCTCCTACATATATGTAACGAGTCAATTTTTATAGCCCAAACAGGCATTAGAATTTCACTCTTACACTATACGTTGCGGGGAATCAACATTGTGTCTTGTCGAATTACCCCTGCAACTGCAAGTAGAAGAAATTTGTTTTTTTTCTTAGTACTCTGGGGTATATTTTTCCTGTTTTTTTCTTTTTTCGTCTCCAATTAAATAAGAAAAAGAGTTTTCTATATCAATATTTTTTCTCTTTTTATTCTAATTTTTTTGATCAAAATTTTAAAAAGGAAAGAGAAAAGAATGGAAATTGGAAACAAATCAAACAATCCTTAAATTTAGGAGACTGCCAAACGAGCCTTTAATTTTGTCAAGCAGCCTCGAAAGTTCTCGAGTCTTCTCTCCGAACCCTCGCTCAGTCGCTCGTCTTCTATATTCTCCCCATCCACATTCCACACAACTCTATCGCCATTTCCAAGCTTTTCCGATCATTTCAATCGTCGTATCACAGCATCTCGCCGTCGCCGGAGCATGGCCAAGTTTGGAGAAGGAGACAAGCGGTGGATCGTGGAGGATCGCCCCGACGGCACCAACGTCCACAACTGGCACTGGGCCGAGACCGACTGTCTGGAATGGTCTCGCAGCTTCTTCAACAAGCTTTTGTCCAATCAAACCGTCCTCAACGGAGAAGGTAACATCTATATCCGTATCAAAAAGCTGGATAAGCTCGAGGGCGAGGCGTATGTGAATGTTCGCAAGGGGAAGATCATCCCCGGGTATGAACTGAACCTAGTTCTCTCCTGGGAAGGCGAAGCCAAGGATTCGGAAGGGAAATCGATGGCTAAGACTGAAGGAACTGTGGAGATCCCTTACATTTCTGATGAGAATGCAGATGAGGATCCGGAAATTAAGGTTGCAACTCGTGAAGACGGGCCGATTGAGAAGAGATTCAAAGATGCTTTTATTGCTAAAGGAAAGCCATTTGTATTGGAGCAGGTACGAAGCTGGGTAAGTGCAATGGCGAAGGGTGGGCCTGCTAAGGACGAGCTTGAGCCAAAAACTGTTGCTAAGAAGAGCATTGCTCCCTCTGTGGAGGAGAAGGTGAAAGCAGCCTCGAAGGAGGTAGTGAAGGAGAAGAAGGCAAAGAAGAAGGAAGGGTTTAAGACTATTACAATGTCTGAGAAGTTCCATTGCAGGTCTAAGGATTTGTATGAGATATTGATGGATGAGAATAGATGGAAAGGGTTCACTATGAGCAATGCCAGGATCAGCAAGGAGGTTGGTGGTCAGTTTAGCATATTTGATGGATCAGTGAGTGGGACGAACATAGAACTGCAGGAAGGCAAGTTGATTGTGCAGAACTGGAGATTTGGGAGCTGGCCTGATGGCATCCTCTCGACGGTATAAATACATAACAACCTTTACATTCCAGATTTTTTTTATTATGCTTAATTGCCTTTCTTCACTTTTATGAAAATTTAATTGCTTTACAAGTTCTTAATCCTTTTTTTTATTTAGTTGATGCAAGTTGATTGTTTGATTTGTTTAGTTGAGGTGATTTAGTTTGATGTGTTAAGAATTACAGTTCCGTTTTGCATTCTTGTCTGGGTTATTCTTCCCACAAGTAGAATTAGGCCTTTGTTGTTGCTATGTTGCATAGAGACCGGGAGAGATACTCAAACAGGGCCGGGATTGGGAATTAGGAAACGCCACTTGTTCTAATTTTTACCAATAGTGTGGGGACATCCGAAAGTACTTAAAACAGGACTATTTCAGGGGCAAGAAGTGGCACTTAAAGAATCTGTGCAACATAGCTGCTTGGCATGGCTTAATGGGTGAAAAGCTTGAAAAGTTTGCCATGGAGCACCAAACACCCCCATATTCAGCTGTTTTTTTTATTTTTAGTAAAAGCTCAACACACCCAAACTTTTCTTGGTCTGGCTAATATAAGCTAACAGGACAGGTTTATAATTCTTTTTTATGTATTGATTCAAATAAGAAATTATTGCATACCTTTTAAGTAATTACACACAAGCACATTGCCAAACACTTCTAATTCAGCCAATTTACCCAAGTCATCCATTTCTGCAATTACAAAACATGCTCTAAGTAGCTCTTGGCTGAAATGATTGTTATCAAATGCATTGTGTATGAGTCAGCGCCTCAGTGAGCCAAGCCATTTAGAATTAAGGATTGGGAGAACATTGTTAGGAATTGATTATGATTAGGTGTTTGTAGATTGTTAGAAAAGTGTTGAGAAAATATGGCCTTAGGAGATGGTGAGCTCTGTCACCTAGGAGATTTACCCTACATACTACATAGTAAGGTTCTGTTAAGTCATATTCAAGTTTGTAGAACAAGTATAATATGCATATATGGAGCAACTCCCTGTGGTGTATGTATCATCTATATTTTGATGTCATTGCCATCCATCTAGTGCCCTGAACTTTGACCCACATTGCCGGCTAGAGTAGTTTCAGTGTGTGAAACTCTCTTGGAAAAAGTCTCTCTACTCTCCAGTAGGGCTAAGGTCTGCATACACATTCCCTCCCTAGACCTGTACTTTTGATGTGTCTCTCTGATTATCTTATATTATCTGTGTTGTTTGAGCCGGGGGTCTCTTGGAAACAACCTCTCTACTTTCGAGCAGGGGCCAGGTCTGCGTACACACCCTCCCCAGACCTTACTCTCGTGGAGTCCTAGCTGGAAAGTTGTTATTGTTATTGTTTGTATTGCTCGCAAGGAGAAGTTTCAGTGCGTGAAACTGTTTGGCTGACGCAATTGTGATTCTTTCTTTGTTACAGGTCCGCCTTACCTTTGATGAGCCTGAACCTGGAATTACAGTGGTTAAGCTCATCCATTCTGATGTACCAGAGGAAGACCGGTCAGTCATTTTTTTTAAAACTTTTCCTTGAGCTTATTGCTCATTTATTTTTACAGCCATGTTTATTTCTTTCTTTCGTTTGTTTTTTATATTATTATTGAAGATATGGAGTAGTTGTTGATCATATAGTCGTGTCACGTTGTTATGTCACACACAGGTATGGGAATGAGACTGTGGTGGAGAACACAGAGAGGGGATGGAGGGATCTCATTTTCAACAAGATACGAGCCGTGTTCGGTTTTGGGATCTGAAGAAAGAACAAAGCTCAATGCCATTTCTTCTGTTGTAGTAAGATTTCATGAGTCCTTTTTTCTTGACTGTCAGTTTATTGAGTTGGGTTTTGTCACTTCCTTCCTTGATTGAGGATTGTTGTTTTGCTGGTGAAGAACATTTTTATTCATATGAAATTATGAATGGATGAAACCAATTAGCCAATTTTTATATATGATGATCCCCCCTCCCTCTTTTGACGATTGATTTTGATTTCTCCTTTCGGTCGCACAAATCAAATATGCTAAGGCATCATCGTTTCGTAGAAAACATTTGAATCCAATCTTTTTTGTGCACACTTTTTGTAATAAAAGGCTTCCATTACAAACCCTACACTTTTGAGTGTTTAAAACACCAAAAAGAAAAAAGGGCAAAGACTACCTAACTACTCCATATTAGTCATATGAACTTTTGGATCATTTCTCTAACTTCTTCAATTACAAGCCAAGCTTTGTGTCCTCCAATCACCTCTGCTCTCATTTCTCCATCTTCCCAAAGCTGCAGCCAAAACCTTATATAAATAAATAAATAATAATAATTATGAAACAGAGAAAAAGGACTCCTGCATTTTTAGGGTTCGTTCGATATTAGATAAAGTATAACATTTTCAAAAATAAAGCTTTAAGATTTTACCTGAATGGTTGGCATTTTCTGAAAAGAGAGAAAAAATAGAATGGTTAGCCAGGAAATAAAATTCAGTAGAAGAACAATGCCTTTCTGTCTCATATTATTCATCTTAGATATATAGATAGTAACACAACGGCAAATAATAGAAAATCATAGGATTTGTTTTTTTTCTTCTTCTGTTTCGAAAACTCACCGAGATGTTCCCGCGCTTCACCAAAGCCTTGGGCGCCTTGTTCACATCGACGCGGTAGAACTTCACTCTGCACCCTTAAAAGGTCGCGTTTAGAACAAGAAAATGCAAATATAAAACTGGGAAAGAGGAGAGGGCATTCTTGTGGGAAACTTCACTTTGACTCATATTCTGCAGCCATTTTCTCCAGTTTTGGCTCTAAGTATATGCATTTCCTACACCATGCTGCCATCCTATGTAAAAACCAAACAACACTATAACAATTTGCTTCTCATTCCTATGAAGTCTTGAATACTTGCAATGCATCAAAATGATCTAAAGGGATTGGAAATTGTAGTTTGAAGTCTTAAGTTCAAAACTTCAAATTTGGAAACTGTAGTTTGAAGTCTAGATACCATACTAATATGGAAATGCTAGGATACACCAAAAGTATACCCCAATTATACACCAACACAAACACAGACATAATGTCCGTGCCAAAATAGACATAAAATGTCTACATTTCCCTTTTGGTATACATTTGTTTGTGAAGTCTGGATTACGACGTATTCTTTACTTTTTTTATTAAGTACTAACTCCGTTTCGTAAAATACTTCATCTTTCATTTATTTGTTTTCTTCAAAACACTTCTAATTTCTATTAAAAACCACTTTTACTCATTTTTTTCTTACCCTGCTTATCACATCATATTTTTTCATTAATAATATATCTATCACATCTTATTTTTACCCATCACATTAAGGGAAAAATTAGAAAGTCAACCACAAATATACACTCTTTATTTCTCTTAAAATCAAAATAGGAAACATTTTATGAAACAGATGGAGAGTAAGAAATTAAGATTAATTCATTTTTTAAAGAAAGAGAGTAGGACTACTTATCTATCTTCTTGTCAAACATATGAAACACCTCTCATAAAAGGAAAAAGAAAAGAAATCTTTGAGTGTGAAAACATAAAAACTAACCAATCAATGATGATGGGTTTGGAGAGAAGTTTAGCCTGAGTTAAGGTGTGGTCAAGCATCTCACAGTCCTCAATAAGTTCCATCATCTCTGCAGAAGAAGAAGAAGAGAGCCTGGGCAGATGATCAGACCAAGAAGAAGAGCCATCAATTCTCCATTCCTTCTTCTTCTTCTTCTTCTCCAACTCTCCCCTTCTCTTTCTCCCAAACCCAAAACCATTTGGTTTCTGCAGATTCAGTAATAAGATTCCCCCTCCTGTGCTCCAAATCTGGTGGCTCTTTTGCCGGAATTCTCTGTATGGGATTTGGGGATTTGGGGATAATACAGACATGATGATTCTTATCTCTTCTTCTTGATTATGCACTGCATCCCAAAAATAAAGACCAGATACTCCCTATGTTTTTTATTAAATAAAATAAAAATCGGACATCATTTTTAACTTTATTTATTTGGGATCCGAACTGGCCAATTTTTTTTATAAAGAATCAAATAGAATAAAAACATTACCAAGTTTTAAGTGACATTGGACTTCAATGTCATGGGATGACTCGAGGGCGCTCTGGTGCCCCGTTCGTAAAATTGACGGTTCCTACCCCTAACCCTTCGGCAAACCCCCTAACCCGGCCCCGACCCGAACAAACCTCCCCACCCCCTTCAATTGCACCCCAGAAATGTCAAAGAGGTAATACCGGGTTCCTATTCCTAACAATTGTGCTGAGAAGCAAATATGCTAAATAAAGGCATATGCAAGTATCAGATACGAATTCCATTTTTTGCCATTAAAGTCCGAGTTTCATCGTCTCAGTCAAACCCCTCGGGTTTGCTACTGTACTACTCCCATCACATGGCAATTGGCAAGTGAATGTGGTGTTAGGAAGCATTAAAGAAGGGCGGGTACTAATCTCTTCTTGCCCTTCCCAAATTAAATTCCTCATCTGCTTTTGAGGGGAAGGTTTATTTTGCTCTCCAAACCCAAGTGGGAGAACTTTGTGCTCCTGGCATTGTTCTTGTGAAGGAAACCGACCAGATGAAGGCTTCAACAAGCATGGAAATGGACGTTGGGGTTCTGTACGGTGCAATATGTGGCAACAGTTGGGAGAAAGCCAAGCAAATCCTAGACCAACACCCAAGTGCCCTGACTGCCAGGCTGACACCCACAAATGCGACACCTCTCCACGTGGCTGCACTCTTTGGGCACTCAGAAATGGTGGATGAGCTGCTGAAACTGGCCAGCCCAGAGACCCTCGAGCTCGCCGATGACCATGGCTCCACCCCACTCGCCGCCGCTGCATCGACCGGAGCGGTTAGGGTTGCAGAACGCATGCTTCGCAAGAATAGAAACGCAATTGGCATTCCGGACAAGAGGGGCCATCTCCCTGTCGCATCGGCTATTGGTGCGGGTCAGAGACGAATGGGGCGTTTTCTCTACAAGGAAACCCCTTTGGAGGTCCTCAAACCACAGAATGGCCACTTGGGTCCCCGGCTCCTCCGTGCGTGCTTTGAAGCTGGGGAACTTGGTGTTGCTCTGGATCTACTTGAGCGATGTGAAGATATCGTCTTTGCCCCTGATCAAACCGGCTGGGCACCCTATTCCAGCATAGCTTCCCTGCCTTATGCTGTTGAGACTGCAAGCCAACTTGGGTTCTTGAAAAGATGCATTTATCCCTGTGAGTTCTTGTGTGTGTGTGTGTGTGTGTGTGTGTGTGTGTGTCCTATCAAATCAATTCAGGCATTTTTTATTTGGGTTTATTTCTCTTTTCTTTGTTGTTGTTGTTGCCAGTTATACCCACACCACCAACCACAACAATGGATGAGGTTTGTGTAGAGGTTCACCAAGAAGCAGGCAGCAAGAGAAGGTTTCAAGGCATGTATGAGCTGAAGCAGCTGCAGGCACAATCATCTGAAATTCTGAAACTACTTTGTCGAAGGGTACCCATTTTGGGCAAGAAATGTCCATATCTTGATGAAGACACGGAGGTGCTGACCGTCGCAGCCAGAGAAGGGCTTGTTGATTTCTTGTCTCGAGTATCTGAAACATACCCACAATCACTGCAGTTCACTCCAGAATATGGAAACTGGAACATTTTCTTCCTGGCTATTAGATATCGCCAAGCTGAGGTTTTCAGCCTGATCCACAGGTACCGGTTCAAGAATTTAGCAGCCTCAGTGGTGGATACATCTGGAAACTGCATGCTGCATGTGGCAGCAAAGCTGACTCCTTCGAACCAACTTAACCGCGTCTCCGGTGCAGCCCTGCAGATGCAGAGAGAAATGCAGTGGTTCAAGGTTGGAAATTTGAAAAGTTTTCCTGTTTGATAAAAAGAAGAAGAAGAGGGGATTTAAAAATGTGCTGTTTTCTTTGAAATGGTTGCAGGAAGTTGAGAGTGTGGTTCCCCTTGGACTAAGGGTATCTCTAAACAGTGACAGGCAAAGGCCAGAAGACATATTCAAAGCCACCCACAGAGATTTAAGGGATGCAGGGGAGAAATGGATGAAGGACACAGCATCTTCATGTTCTGTTGTTGGTGCTTTGATTGTTACCATGATGTTTGCAGTGGCTTTTACTGTTCCAGGAGGGAACGACCAGAACGATGGCTACCCCGTCTTCTTGAAAGACGACGACAACAACAAGTTGTTATTCATACTTTTCATGGTCTCTGATGCGCTCTCGTTGTTTTCTTCCACAACTTGCGTGCTCACGTTTTTGGGGATTTTGACCTCGCGCTACGCCGAGGAAGACTTCCTCACATCCTTGCCGAAGAAGCTGATCATCGGCCTTTCGGCGCTGTTTGTGTCCATTTTGACCATGATGGCAGCATTTTGTTTGTGCATTGTTCTCATGTTGAGGCAAACATACCCATGGTCTTATCTTCCTGTTTTCATCGTCGCCGGCGTCCCGGTAGCCCTCTTTGTGTGGCTGCAATTCCCTCTTCTTCTTGATGTCATTTCTTCCACTTATGGACCAGGCATCTTCAAGACTAAAAGGTAATATAAATCACAGTCCTTTTGCCAAGGTCCCATCTCGTGTGTGTATTTGCTTAGAGCTTCAAAATGCAAGACATTCTTGTTCCTAGGATATATTATGTGCTTTAAGTAAATTCAATTGATGTACCTACTTTTTCGTACTATATTGATGGATAAGAATTCCACCAAATGATCTGACACAATGGGCTGCCAAAAAGCCTTGGACTAGCCCAATATTGACGCTGGGATATCCGTGGGTCCCAAAAAGCACCTGGGCACTCGGGTTGGGCTGCCCGGTAAGTAATGGCCCATCATATATCAACTATATTTATTACTCCATCCATCAGTGCCATCACAAAGACCAAATTAGAAAGGCTGAGTTTTACAAGAAGAAAATACAATTTCACAAATCTCTATGGATTAAAATAAGTGATTTGTCATGAAGAAAATACAATTTCACATGCATGGCACGAACAATGTATGTACTTTATATAAAAATTTCAGATGGCACGCTTCCAAAAAAAACTTCCCAAGTAAAAATCTTTCAAGAAAATAAAATGTGAATGAACTATAATTTCTTTCTGTAAAAAAAATGTTATTGCTTGATTTGTTTTTGTAGTGTCTCATTATAAATAGGCGCTAACTACAAAGACCTTGTTTTTGGTTTATGGTTTAGGCCTATGCTTTAGCTCTGTCGCTAGTTTTATGCAGTGGTAGAAATGGTTTATTTTGGTCTAGAAATTAAACCAATGGTTTGAGTACTTAAATGGTCTTTGATGCTTGGGTATATATGAATGGATTGATCTAAACAATACTTTCTTCCTTTCCTATTTAACATCGAAAAAGGATATATTTATTGACATTTGAGGTTTAATGTCAAGGAACCAATTCAATCAAAAAACTTAACTTTGTGATTGTGGCGCATGAATAGTTTTTATATACTCTAACATTAAATCTTTTAATTTTAACTCTTTTCAATTTCTTTTAACATTTTTCAATTTCTTTTAAAGAAATTACCAAAATAAAACAAAAAACATAGCAAGTGGAGAATTTATAGCACCAATATCACGTGGTTTGGTAAATATGCAATGTTACTCCCTATGGTTTCAAGACTTATATCGCTGCCCTCATTGCTACGCTAATGCCTCTCTAGACTAAAATTTTTGAAATGGGCAACAACGTCACTCTCTTTTTTCTTTATTATTTTTAATTTCTTTTTTCTAGTATTTTTTTTCATAATTGTTTTTAATTTATTTTTAAATTTTTTAATAACGTTTTAACATATTTCTTTGTCTCAAATTAAATATTTTCATTTTTTGTCTAAAAGAGTTCTTTATTAGTTCATTTTCATAAAACAAAAGTCAATGAAACATTCTCTTTTTACAATAAAGCTCATTTCTTATTTTTTTCATTTATATTATACTGTTTCACTTATTTTAATCAAGATTAAAATAAAAGAAAAAAGAACATAAAAGAAAATCAAGAAAAGAAAAGTATATAAAAATATTTTTATTGAATAGGGAAAAATGGAAAATTAAGTTATGAAGAAAAAATCTCGTGTGCATCGGTCCAAAAAGCGTTATTAATATATAATTAACTACATACTCCACCCGTATTTGAAGATTTTTTTCCTTTCTCTTTTCATTTGTCCCTAAAATCCTTCTTTATTCTCTAAAAAAGTCATTTATACGCCTCCTGATACGGGATTAATTATTATTATTATTATTATTACTATTATTAATGGTTAGTGGTTATTATTATTATATTAGGTAGTATTATTATTTATGGTTAGTTAATTATATTATTATTAGAAAGTAATATTCTATTGTTAGGATATTTGTTACCATTTATAATTAGGATTCCTAGATTACTTAGTTTCCTTCTATGATAAGGATTCTTTAGATGTCTTACCTATAAATGTATCCATTTCAATGAATTATTAATCATTGAATAAAGAAATTACTTTCTCCTAAACCTTAATCTCTCTCTTTCTCGCCTCTTTTGTTCTTGGAGCTCGAAGGTGCTCAAAATCCTTCCCTATCCCGATACGATACCGTATCAATTGGTGCTTTCATTGTTGAACTCACCAAAAAAAACCAAAAAAAAATTATCATCACCGTTGAAGAGGAATCCCAGCCAGCAACAAAGCCACAAATTGAAACAGAACAAGATAGCCGCTGCATCAATCTCTTGTCGCCAAAAAAAAATTATCATCACTTGAAATTTTTGCCTGGACAATGTGGTCTCGGTGGTCTTCCCCATCAACATTATTTGTAGGAACATGATCAGTTACAATAAGAAAAGCATCATCGGAAATACCTACCGGATGAACAACAATTTCCTCCATCGTGCGTGACTTATTGGTACCTAGGACATTGGACCCACTTTTAATGTCATCTTCGAGATGTGGTTCATTGCTCAAATTTTCCACAAGAGGACTAGTGTGTGCGGTTGTGTCTTCCACGATCTGGACAATCAGGTCACCAACCTTAGGGGCTAGATTTGGCGAAGAAAGTGGAGCACCGATGAGTTTCTTTATCACGCTCATCATATTTGTTTTGAGCAAGTGCAATTCTATCGGGATCAAACTTGGTAAAATTGGGGGACCACGAACTAAATCCTGGATTGAGCAATAGACCTCTACGGCGAATGCATATACCTCGGAATCATATTTTGGTTGACCTTCAATTTGACGGAATGCCTGAAGTTTCTTTATAATTTCATCCACGAAATCTTCAACTGCACACACGCCTTCATAAAATTCAATTTGTCCCTGTAGAACTTTCTCGAGCAAACCAAGAACTTTGTCCAACAGAGAATCCATTGCCAAAAGAAACAACACCACACAAAAATTGAATTGAATTTTGTGGCTATTTCTTTTTGTATAATTTTTTTTTGAATGAGTCCAAAAATGAGAGCACCAATTGAACTCACCCAAAAAATACAAAAAAAAAAATCTAGAGCACACGCAATGGATTCTCTATTGGACAAAGTTCTTGGTTTACTCGAAAAAGTTCTACGGGGACAAATTGAATTTTATGAAGGCGTGGGTGCAGTTGAAGATTCCGTGGATGAAATTATAAAGAAACTTCAGGCATTCTGTCCAATTGAAGGTCAACCAAAATTTGATTCCGAGGTATATGTGTTCTCCGTAGAGGCCTTTTGCTCAATACAAGATTTAGGTCGTGGTCCCCCAATTCTACCAGGTTTGATCCCAATAGAGTTATACAACTTCAGAGAAAACATGATGAACGCAATAAGGGGACTCATCGGTGCTCCTCTTTCTCCACCAAATTTAGCCCCTAAGGCTGGAGACATGATTGTTCATGTTAGAATATAAATAATTATTCTTGGGCCACAATCACAAGCTTGAGCTTGTGGTTGAGTTGGTTCCTTGACATGAGCTTGTGGTTGAGTTGGTTCCTTGACATGGTATCAGAGCCTCGTTGACTAAGAGGTCACGTGTTCGAAACTCAGCGCCACCCAGTTTAAAAAAAATATTAAGGTTTCACGTGCAAGGCTCGAAAAAGACTACGCCTACACGTGAGGGGGCGTGTTAGAATATAAATAATTATTCCTGGGCCACAATCACAAGCTTGAGCTTGTGGTTGAGTTGGTTCCTTGACAGTTCAGTTAGTGGAAAACACAGCCGCACACACAGGTCCTTTTGTGGAAAATTTAAGCGATGAACCACATGTCGAAGATGACAAGAAAAGTGGGTCCAATATCATGAATACCAATAAGTCACTCACGATGAAAGGGGAAATTGTTGTTCATCCGGTAGGTATTTCCGATGATGCTTTTGTTATTGTTACTGATCCTGTTCCTACAGACGATGTTCATGAGGATGCACACCATCAAGGCCGCGAGGAAGTTTTTGGGGACATTCTAATTGTTTATGGATGCACAGAAAGCTTTGGAATTCCTGATGTTGAGGTTATTGTTATCTGTAAAGCAAGAAGTATTGCACCCGGTTGCATTCTTTTCATCGAGTTGGTCGCATGCAATTATTTAACTAGTGTTGGAGATGTTGTAGGTCCAACACGTTCTTTTGATACTCCAATAACGAAGGTGTTTGACCCCGGAGGATGGACGATGCATGACACATTTTTTCCTCGTTCTTTGTTGAATTTCCAACTTGAGGACAAGTTGGTTTTTGAGGCGGGGAGAGTGATACGGAATTAATTATTATTATTATTATTATTACTATTATTAATGGTTAGTGGTTATTATTATTATATTAGGTAGTATTATTATTTATGGTTAGTTAATTATATTATTATTAGAAAGTAATATTCTATTGTTAGGATATTTGTTACCATTTATAATTAGGATTCCTAGATTATTTAGTTTCCTTCTATGGTAAGGATTCTTTAGATGTCTTACCTATAAATGTATCCATTTCAATGAATTATNTATTATTATTATTATTATTACTATTATTAATGGTTAGTGGTTATTATTATTATATTAGGTAGTATTATTATTTATGGTTAGTTAATTATATTATTATTAGAAAGTAATATTCTATTGTTAGGATATTTGTTACCATTTATAATTAGGATTCCTAGATTATTTAGTTTCCTTCTATGGTAAGGATTCTTTAGATGTCTTACCTATAAATGTATCCATTTCAATGAATTATTAATCATTGAATAAAGAAATTACTTTCTTCTAAACCTTAATCTCTCTCTTTCTCGCCTCTTTTGTTCTTGGAGCTCGAAGGTGCTCGAAATCCTTCCCTATCCCGATACGATACCGTATCACCTCCACTCAAAACAATTCATTTCACAACAAACCCTACTATTCTAATATTATTCATCCTACCGTTCTAACCTTTCATATCCACTCTCTTTCTCTTCATCGATTCCCAAACTTCCCTTATCTTCTTCTCCCATCTCTCGATCTAATCTTCTTCGTCTTCAGATCTATTCTTCTCTTCCCCGATCTCATGTCTTCTTGTGTGACCCTACAATGCCTAATTTTCAATTACTCACTAATAGTGATGATGATACATGTCATCCTAATCAAATCTCCCCTTATTTTTATTAAAAGTCAAAACTAGGAACTTTTTTAGGATCGGAGAAAGTATTAAAAAAATCTTACTTGGTATACTTTTCGTCATGATATTTTTTATAAATAAAAAAATATTTTGAAAAAAAATGAAAATATTTAATTTATCAAACGAACTATATGTAAACTTTTTTTGTTTCAAACAAAAACATTTTATTTCTAAAACTCTTTTTAAAACGTAGGTTTGATAAACAACTTTTTGGGTCGTGTGTATAAAAATTGGATCGGCCCAAAAAAAGCTAACATGCTTGCAAGGTGTGTTCTACTCGGTATTTAAGAGAGACAGAAACGCATTACCCATCACAACACGGTTGCCGCCATTGAGCCGGTCCACCATAGCCAACGCCGCTAGCACCGTCGCCTCCAGCGCCCCGCCGCCTTCCGCCAGGTAAAATTTCTATCTCAATTCAGTATTTCTTCTTCGATATTGTTTTGTCAACCTAAATACTCCGTATTTGTTTAATTATCTTAGACAACAATCGATTATGATTTATGATATGTGAATTTGTGATTTGTGAAGTTATGAGCTATGAATTTGTGATTTGTGGAGTTATGAGCTATGAATTTGTGATTTGTGATTAGGTTAATTTCTATGAATGTGTCATATGTGGAGTTAGATGTCACAATTCAGATTCTTCTGCAAAAAATTTCCTGTTTTAGGTTTTGCAGTCTATATATTATACATAGAGTATTTTTTTCTGTTCTTGCAATCTTATGAGCTAGAGGTACATCACAATCTACAGAGTTAAGAGTGATAACAAACACCGGAGGTGCGAAGCTATGACTTGCAGCGAAGACGAAATCAGTCGATTTGTTGATGTGGCTAACAAAGCCGCCGATGTTGCTGGTCAGATCGTCCGCAAGTACTATGAACGTGCTATAGACCAGTTGCCTGATGTGAAGAGGAAGGAGAAGGGAGATGGTTCAATAACAAAGGCAGCAAAGAGAGAAGCAGAGGAAGCCATGGTGGCCTTCATAACAGAGAGCTTACCAACACATGTGGTGTTCACAGAGGAGACTGGGTTTAATCATAGCAGCAACCAGTCACCCTTTGTTTGGGTACTGGACGCGATTAACGGCGTCAGGGAGGATTTTCGCACAGGCTTTAATTTATTCTCGTTTGGGACGATGATTGCCTTACTCTACAATGGCAAGCCTATGCTAGGGTGCATCGATCAACCCATTAGAAAACTGAGGTGGGTGGGGGTTAAAGGCAAGCCGACAACATTGAACCAAGAACAAGTGGTTGCAGTGGCTTGTGATGATCTGAGCATGGCCTATGCTAACCTTAAGCAACCAAATATGAGCGATGATGCAAGAGTGGCCTTCAATAGGCTCTGCTACAAAGTTTATGTCGTGTTATTGGACACTACCAGCACAACTTATGGCGCTCTGGCTTGCGGACAACTGCATCTGGTGGCTGATTGTGATGTTTTGCCATGGAATGTCCTCGCTGCAGTGCCGATAGTGGAGGGAGCGGGAGGAGTCATCACGGATTGGGAGGGCCGCGAGCTGTTGTGGGATGCGAGCCAGATCAAGAGGGGGACTATCCGAGTAGTGGCTGCTTCCGATAAGAAGACTCATCAGGAAGTCATTGATTCATTATCCTACTAGCTCCCTGTATATGAGCATGGTCTAGCTAAGTTTACTAATATAGATTCTTTTGCAATGAACGATTAGTTTTTCTCAGTTTTATGTCTCTGGCAATAATTTGGTGAATAGCTCATCCCCCTCATCCCAATTTTCATATGGAAGTGCAAGCAATTGCCTATTCAAATTCCAATTTCCTAATGGTTCCCAAAAATCATTCCATGTTTTGATCGACTAGAGTCGATGCTTGAGCCGATGTCTAACGTTGTGTGTTTGTGTAATGTTGTTCTGATTTTCGATCATTAACCAAATAATAAGTTGATAGTGTTATAAACGCTCAACCTCACAATGATATTGGAAGTATTAAAACACACAAGTTTAGCAAAGAATGTGTTTGTCCCGTAGCAAAAGCAATGTGGCTCTCAAATATCGTGGGCACTGGTGTGTGCTAAATACACTTCTTCTAATGCTCGTTGTTCTATGAAGAATTAGAAGCGTCTGAGGTCCTAACAAGTGGTATTAAAGCCAAGTCACGAGTTCTATTTTCAGCGGGAACAATTGTTGAGGGGCAGATTATTGGTCATGTGTGCATCAATTGTCCTCTGACGGAGGCAATGTGACCAAGTCACACTCGAATATCATGGAAGCTTGTGTGTGTTGAATACTTGAATCCACTATAAGACCAGAGTGTACGTTTCTTTTAACAATAATTGGTTTTAGAAAAGTTGGTTGCGTATAAGGTCCTAAAGAACGACCTTTATTTCACAAGAGAAAGTAAATACATTTGGTTGTGCATCAATCTATTGACCTCCTAGAAGTCCTATTTATATTACTTAGAACAACTCCAATGGTGGCCGGAACCGTCACCGTGCCGGCCGGTACCGGTTCCGGTTCCCGGACCGGCGGTTCCGGTACCGGACCGGCCGGTTTCGCCCCCCCCCCCCTATTTTTTTTTGATATTTTTAAAATTTTTAAAGTATAAAATTTTAAATTTGCAATTGTTTAAGGAAAAAACGAAATAAAAAATCTAAAAATGTAGTTGTTATTTAGATATTTTAAATGAACTAACTGAAGAACAACCACATTTAATATCCTGACGGTTCAAAAAAAGCGACGAGGTAAAGAACCGTAAAGAAACCCTCGAAGGAGCTTATATATCGCTCACCTAAAAAAACTAATTACATATTTACATTAACATAAAAAAAATTATAACTTATTCTTCAGAACTCGGACTTCCATCTGTTGTTGCATTCATGTAATGCTCCAAGTCGAGTTGGTACGAAGCCTCTTGAGCTCGACGTCTTGCCAAGAGCCAATCTTGGTTGCAAACCAGTGTTTCAAGAGATTCAGCGCTAAGACAACTTCGATAGTCGGTTAGAATGTTGCCGCCAGCACTGAATTCTCGTTCAACTGCTACGGTTGATACCGGAACGGATAACACTTGTCTTGCTAGCATGCCGAGACATGGGAACATGTGTTCGTTCCGCTTCCACCATCCGAGCACGTCAAAATCCACTTCGTCCT